ACATGTCAATGTCAAACAATTCCAGTGACGAGGTGAAAGTGCGATTAGCCCGTTGGGCCGTGACCGTGATTGCAGTAGTCGAGGAACAGCTCTGAGTAGCTTAAGAAGCAACATGATGGGAACCGATTCGACTCTTGCAGTGTGCAAGCTGAGGGTAGCTGCTCGTTCGTTCTTCATGCTCCCTGCGCCATCTCCGAAATGCAAGTCCGAGATTCTCGTGGAGCTGCAGATAGCGCTGATCGTGAAAATCGTACCTTCGGAGCATCTGCATCCAGCTGGCGGCCCAAAATCGGTATTTCAGAAAAACATGCAGGGTCTGCCAGACTGTCTCCAGCCAACTATGGCCCTCGAATCAAGGATCACAAGATGCCGTTACAAACCCCTTTCAACTTTCCCAGTCAAGATTCTCGTAGAGAACGGTGAAGCACCTTGACCAATCTTTGGAGACAGCAACACGGATCTAACAAATCATCTTGCATCCAGCTAAAACCTGGTTGGACCAGAGATGTTGTGCTCTGGGAATTTGACGGCACAGTGGTCAAAAACAGCCATCTGCAGGTGGCTGAGTAAGCACACACCGTCTCTATTGTTCAGCAACCCAAGCATTAGTGACATTAGTGGCAGTAGCCACAGTAGCAGCCGTCGCCGTTAATGACGTTAATGCACAAGGTATCGTTCCACGAAGCACCGCTCTGAACCTCACAGAGCAACAACATCGAAACTGGAGCTCGGAACTGGTGGCTGGCCTGGGCCCTGTCGTCTCAGGGTGCCGTGCAGGAAGTAAGTGAGATTCGGCTGATTCGACATACCGACAAGCCGAGGCTCTCTGTTGCCAAGGCGAGGGTGCTGACCAGGCAGGCGATAGCGGTGGAGAAAAGGAAGCGGCCCAGAACCTGTTTGGTGCCAAACAGTCGCATGGGTCGCGTGGTACTTACTCAGTCTTTGCACATATCTCTTACACGCTTGTTCTGACTATCCTCATTGTTTTTGCTGCTGGTGCTACAAGTGCGCTGGCACCTTGCTGATGGGCATGGCTAGCTTACACGGCTCTGGTGGTGATGCTGATCCTGGTTGGTGGTGGCGGCGGTAAGGCTAGGGGTGGCGGCGGTGGTCAGTCTAAAGCGGAGATATTGCTGGCGGGGATGATGATACGAAAATATAGAGGTGGTGGTGAACTGCCACCATCACGGAATTCGCAGCACGGGTGTTGGCTGCAGTTTGGTTGGAACGTGGATGTTGGACAACACTTGCATGTGGCATACCTGCTATTTCTTACACGCAGATGCAGCGTGTCAACTTCAAACTGTGCCTCAAGACCTTTGCAAAACACGCAACTCGCACGGTAGAGTGTGATCAGCACAGTCGGACTGCACATGCAAATAGAAGCTGATATGCCAGGAGACCGAATGAGCCCAAACTGCCTCGGCCTTGCAGGGTGAGAGAGCGGTTAGGAAGACCAAATTGCATCGATGAGGCTACACAGCTGTAGCCACAAATCCAGAACTGGCATTTTGGGAAAGGACCCTTGCAGCTTGCAACTAACAACTCGTTGCGAAGTTCGGGTTGAAAACTATTGATATTGGCAGCTTAACGTGTAGAGGTGTCCGGACGGAAGGTCGGAAAGGACAGGCGTTGCAGTATAAAGTAAAATATTGCGAATTTCAAAGCTCCCGACTTCGTCCTAGGTTTCTAGGGTTTCCATAAGATTTAACTGTTTTGTTGCACTGCATGCCCCGCTTCCACCCACAGTCTGCAGTTGACAGAAGCGCGACGCAACATCATGGTCGCTTTCATCGAAATGCCCTTGTCAAACCGTTCCCGGCCCCCAAAGAGCCACACGCGGGAGGGCTCGTGGTTGACCGCTTGACGATTTATTCCAAACACCCCCAATGGAGGCCAGGGTGCCTTGCTGTAGCCGCGACACTGCTTCACCAACCTCCCTGCTCGCACCCACAGACGTCCTGAATGGGCTGAGTGCGGAGAACACCGTGGAAATCGGGAACAGGAGATCGAGAAAAGTCTGACACCTTTTACTTGCTTCTCATGTGAGCCTGATGTGGAACTGACGTCGCAGTGCTTTCGGAGACTGATTTGTTCTACTTGGCCTGGAGGGATATTGAGCCTGAAACGCAACCTCCAGAGACTTGAACACCTCAATTCAAGCACGCCTGAAGCATGCTCTTCAACGATACCTGTTCTCCCACAGCGAATCGTGTCAGCCGCGGCACCAATGCCGCAGCATGCGGCGGTCCCCAGCCCCTCGGTTCTGCCGAACATGTTCCCGTCTGTGCACAAGCAGCTGCTCGTCCCCCGAAGAACCTCACAAGACGACACCCTTCAGATCTTCTTCAGTATCAGTGAGTCGGAGGGGGCGGACTGCGGCCCAGCCTCGGCCTGGCCCGGCCCCTCCGACACACAGTCCTACGAAACTCAACGGAACGGAGGCCCCAGCCCTAGCCCCCACAGACCTCGGATGTGACAGACATCCAAAGGCTCGACAACCTGCGCAAGCACTGCCCTGACTCATCTCCTCGTAGGAACTGCTGTCTCATGGGCCTCTCTGACAACCGCCGTTTGCCAATTCAGCGCTTTACTACATGACATGTCGTATACACTCATACCCTTGGAAGAGGGCAACGGGGTCCCAATCAGCGCCAAAGCGACGGCCGTGGCAACAGAAGCGACCCCTTGCGTCCTCGGAAGCTTTCTACAGTACTGATTCTGGTGGAGCGGAGAGTTTTTGCACAGCCTGCACACACGAAGGATCAATAAACCTCGAAAATGCATCCACGCAGAAAAACTAACACATGGCACGCGGACGTCCTTCAAGCTCGATGAACACCCGATAGTTTCGCCAAGACGCATTGACCGGCCAAAGACCGACAAATTTTGAAACGTGAGCTGGCTTCCGGGAGCCTGAGTGCAGCAGAGTTTGTCAAGGTTCGGTCGGACACTTCACAAGATTCTGGCTGTGCAGGAGTTGGCGAGATATCTTCGAGGCCCCTTGGAAGTTGTGAGGGCAAGAGGCTGGACTGGAGTCCTGGTGGCTTGGCCAACAAGTGAAACTCAATCCTGCTGACAGCCGTGCGCATGCGCAGCTCTTCCTTACTGCACCCTGAAGAGCCTCAGGGTCCCCCTGCAAGATATTGCAAGATACAGACACACTGACCTACTACGCCACTACGCCTGATAAACTCCTGCCAGCCATGGGACGAAGCCACAGCGGACGACGGCGCAGGCGATGGTAATGCAAGAGGTCAGGGCACCCACGACAAAGACACAGACCCTGAGCCGCAGAGGCAGAAGCGAATCTAAGCAGAAGGCAGTGAGAGATCGAGATGCTCAGGGGGAAGCATGAGGCCGGTGAGCACCCCCAGGCGCATGCCCATGAGCCGCATCTGAAGCCACCTCAGAGCTCGGCTGAGAGCTGCCACCGCGCTGCTCTTTATCCGGCCACTCTCTGCAGCTCGGTTGCAGAGTCGTCAGGTACAGGATCGTCCTCAGGTGCGGAACGGAAGTTGAATCCGTGTCTGAAGTCATCCTCGTGGACACCGGCCTTTCATCCCCAGCTGAAAGCCTGAACCGAGTCCTTCCTTCCACCTTTCGGCCGGTTTGGACTGGTTTTGACGCATGTCGCAACCGAGGCTCCGCAAGGTGAGGAAGGCCATTGAAGGCACCGCAAACCTTCCCAAGGAGCAAAATGGAGCAATCGTAGTTGGGTCACTTGCAACTCCAAGCACGGCCAGTGCAAGCGTAGATCTTGTGCTGCCCCGTATGTGCTCGAGACCCATGCGTCAGAGAAAGCGGCAGAAAACTTAGGCATCTTGCTAAACCAGCCCCTTTACTTGAGACTGCAGGTTGCCCATGGCCCGAACGCCAGGTAAGGCACGCGAAATGCGTTTACTCCACATGGCACGACTGCCTGCGCCCTAGATTCGCCGAGGTGCCAGGAGCCGGCACAGGTCCGGGGCACTGCGGTCGCAAACAGCAGATGCATGGTACCTGGATGGCAAGAAGCGCCTTCTGGTGATTCCGACTCGTCTCGCCACACTACAGTGGCACTCCAGCTCACTGACAGCAGCATGACACCAGAACCCTTGGATTCAACACCATCGCCACCGGGCAGCCGTAGCAGTAGGTCGAAACCCAGGAGGCGCCGATCAGCTCCCCAGTCAGGCAGCCCAGAGGATCCTACGCTGCTTGGGGTGAGCCTTTGAGCATCTTTGCATGAGACTTTCTGAGCCCTGAGTTTTTCTTCGTGAGCTCCTGGCTGATGTCCTGGCGCCGGTGCACGAAGACAAAGAGGCCGGCCAACTGCAAGGAAGAATTCGTCATATTCCTGGGGCCGTGCTGCTTGGCTGCGTTTGCGCATCTACTGGCCAAAGCCTTCGAACCAAGAATCAGCAGTATGCGATAGCCTTCTGCATCGCCCAAGCGGTATTGGCGAATACTGGCCGCGACCTTATCCCGGGAAAATCCGGTGCGTGCGTGCAAGATGCAAGTTTGAAGCAGTCCACAGAAGCTGCAGAAGTCTTGCAGCTCCAGGAAAAAGCAGCCATCGCATCGCAAGAGCCCCTCGAGCCCCCAATTTCAACTCTCATGGCCGCCGGGCTGCGATGGAGAGGACTTGCAGCAGCGAGCAGAGGGCCAGCGTGGCCAGGAGCAAAGGCAAGGGCCAGGAAATCCAGCGCCGGAGCTTCATGGAATCAGAGCATGGCACGAGCACCAGCACCACAGGATGCTTCTGGGCTCGTTCTCATAAGATTTCCCCTGCCCCTCGAAACCTTCTGTGATCACACCGGGGATGCAGGTCTTTTCAGGACTCCGGGCCTGTGGATGCACCACAACATCTAAAACGAGTTCGCGCCCATGTAGCTATAGACCATTGGTAGTAGATGGGCTGAGGTGGTTGGTAATTGATTCTGCATGCCTCTTGCGACCTCACCCAGCGAAGCTTTCAAGTCTTCACAGCCCGGGACTGAATTTATGCTCGGCCGCGCCTGGCAAAGGCGCAACGCCTGAGCACGTTTTCGCAGCATGTGGTGCACGAAGGACTCACCACCAGCCGACCCCACTGAGCAGGAATCCTCGAGCCCCTGCATCTAACAAGGAGCAAGGCACAGGGTCGGCAGCAGCAGCAGTAGTATCAGCAGTAGCCGTTGTCGTCGAAGCATCAGCAAGAGCAGCAGCACCAGCAAGGCTCAGTGAGGCTTTGATGCATTACCAGAACGGGGAAGTCAGTCTGTAAATGCCAAAGCCGTAAAGGTCTCGTCCCACCTCAAAGCCGAACTCACCTCCGGGAACTCCTGACATCAAGTATCGGCCTTGCGTATACTAGAGCAGGCTCATGCTGCAGGTATTCTGGAAGACGTCCTCACAAAAGCCCAACGGCCTAACACTGCCTGACGCTGAGGACCCAGCAGCTGCCCTGCAGCAAGGTGAGTCAAGTTGTTGAGGACTTGAACCAACTGCCGCTGCCGACCTCTTCAGGGTCCCAGATCGCGTGCGCCCGCGAGTTCTGTTGCAACGAGGGTTGCTGCAAAGATCTGCAAGGTGCTAGGCCTGCAAACAACCGCATGATCCATCAGATTCCTACTCCTAGCCTTGGAATCTGCAGGCAGCATGCAAGCCGCGGAAAGCACGGCGGAGGGGCTGCAACCTGATGGCCTCGATCAGATTTCGGATGCTGACGGCTTCTGCTCAACCTTTTTTGCGGATTGCTTCTCTCAATTATCAGCGTTCTTGGTTCCACACTGGAGTCACAACGGCGGTGCATTCGCTCCGCATCCATGTTGGCACATCGTCTTGCCGTCATCTTCTGTTTTTATGACATGCCAGTGAGCGACGATAGCGATTCAGCGATCAACGTCGGATGCCAGCACCGACTTCACGACGAATTCACCAGGCCTGGAGCCCCGCGGCGTGGCGCCGGCGTCGCCGGGCCCGGCGCCTCCGAGCTCCAGAGCTTCTTGGGCTCCGCTTCTTGGGACTCGAGCTCCCGCCTCCAGGCAGACAGGCAGCGAGCGGCCACTCGGGCATTGGCTTCTGCAGCCAACACCTCGGACTATCACCATGCTGCTGCGCATGTCCCTGATTCGTTTCTGAAATCCACATGCAAGCTACCAACGAGGCATGGTGGCTCCAGCCTACAAGCCCAAACGGACCAGGCTGATCTTGCAGCTCAGGACGTGGCCAAGCTTCGCTCGCAGCAGCGCCAGAAGTGGCGCATGCGGATTGCAAAGCTCTTCCTGCTCTCGATGTGTTGTGTGGCATTTCCCGAAGAGGATCGCACAGGATCGGTCATGCACGGCCCTTCAATCATGTCCGTGACAGTCCCTTGCTTCGATTGCGCCGACCGTCAGTTCCAAGGACGACGAACACCAGCGCGACGCTTCAGCGTGCTTCTGTGAGAGCTCATCTAAGAGACGGCGCATTGACACAGCGAAGGCGCCACGCACACGGACGCTCCTCGCATCCACGGCGGAGGCCCAGCTGCGGTGCACCGCCTCCGCGAGCTGAAGCCGCTGCCTGGAGCCGCCGTGCTCTCTCTCGGCACCCGCGCTACAGCTCCGAATGCTGGGAGTGACATGGCCCAACTGCATGAAGGAGCGAAGGCACGGCAAAGAAGGAGGCCGGTGAATCCCAAGCTTCGACTCAGTGCCTGCGCAGCATCTGCACGAAGTGCCAGGCGGTGAGGGCCTGGACCGACCCGGACTAAGATTGACACGTGGAAACAGCACGCGGAGACAAAAGCACTCGCATCCACCCTTCGGATTCGTGTTCATGTGAACCGGACACACACGCGGACAACTTGCTTATTGCAGGATCCACGACGGCTGCTCACGGACGTGATTTTTGCTGGAATCTCGCTGCTTGAAAGAACGGGACATGGTCGCAAGGTAGCAAGGCTTTCGAAAATTGGAGTCTGTGCAGTTTGTTTCTGACGTCTCCACCCGACTCCCCTTTGACACGGCTCGTTTGGAGCATGAGGGCCTGGACAGTTGTTCTGCTTTTCACCACATGGGAATGCTTCTCGAAGCCTGAGTCAGTGTTGCAAGAAACACTTGTGGGGCACACATGGAGATGGTCTCGGATGCTCTCCAAACAGCCACGCCCTTTCGAAACACACCCTGAAGGACACTCTCACTATTTACAAACAAATCATGCAGGCTCCTGCAATGTACTTCCTTGAGTGCACCCGCCAGCCTTTCTCAGTCTGCAGCGCCTGAAAGCGAGAGTCGGGGTGCCAGGCCTTACCACCTTACCCAAGCCTGCCGCTGTTGGCTTGGCACGAAGCTTTTCAGATTTCATCCTGGTCTTTAAAGGACACCCAAGCCCCAAGTCTAGGCGGGCCCGGCCCAACGGCCTCGCGAGCTGGAGGCTTCGTTTCCAGGCAGCGAGCCCTTTCCTCTTCATACCACGAGCCTCCAGTAGCAGTGACTCTCCGGCTAGGCATGGCCGCGAGTACATTGATTCGCTGTCGTAACGAGCACAGACAGAGAGAGAGAGAGAGAGAGAGAGAGAATCAAGCGGGAGGCAAAGATAGAGCCGGTTCAACAACCCCAGGAGAAAACAGCGGCCTGCCACACGGAACGCAAAACAACCCGCGCCCTTCGAACCTTCAAGAGCAATTTTATTCGTAAGGGCGACTGCGATGCACACAGACACTCATCATTCATCAATGCGAGAATACCATTAACCACAGCACACACACACACACCCCGAGACAGACACGCCCTAAACTCGGACGATGCAGACGAAGCATAAACACTTTGCATTCAAGTTAATGTTTTTTTATGTTTTCTGGCTTCAGGATCAGCTGAATCTAATCTGTAGAATCCTCCATGCAACATCCACACAAGTCCGAAGCACTCCTCAAACCCCCTCCTGCACAGTATGGCCTCGAACGTGGCCGAACGCCATCTGTCCAGCAAACAAGCCTGGGAGTTTGTCGCACTTCATACGAAGGCCATGACTGGGCCTCCTCTCCTACATGGTCCTACATTGCCTGCCATCATCTAAACTCTAAACTCAAGACACGCAAACTTCGTTTCACTATGGGATGGCGAAAGACCATACTCCATGAGGCAACAGTCCATCGAGAACCCATCAAGATCGGTGGCAGCCCAGTTGCACCGAACGGGCGCCAGCGCCGCCGACGGCAGAGGAGACCGTGCCAGGCGCGCAGCGGGAGCGCGGCTGTGGCCAGTGACCTCTGCGGTTGTAGGCACGGTCTTTCGGAATTGAGAGTGCGCTCTGGCAGCTTCCACCTTGGGGCTTCGCTTCCGAATACGGCTGCGGCATCGTGAAGTTGAGACCGGCTAGTCCAGCAGTTGCCAATGCTGGAACTGGCGGCAAAACCTTAGAGCTGTACCCAGGGCCATGAACTCACGCTCACGTGCTCCGAAGTGTCTAGCCTAGTATGAACCCCCAACATCCCATAACTGCCCAGAGCCTTCAATCAACGTCTATCCCTGAGCAAATGGCAAACTGGCCCAGACCCAAACTTCATCACCCTGGCACCAGATTTGCGCACTAAGCCCGTTTTCGCGTTGCTTAGCAGACGACAGACCCATCCGACCCATCCTAAGATCAATTGTAGCTGCCGGGCGACGCCCGCTGCCTCCAGCTGGCTATGACCTGCTTCACCACACCTGCTCGTGACGAAGGTGCACAGACTGTGCACAGCTTCTTGAGCAACCACGGGCTGAAAGCAGTCAGGATGCCATCGGGAGAAAGCTTTCGGCAAACGAAACTCGTCAAGCCCGAAGGTCACAAAGTCAGTCCGTCTCGGAGTTTGCTCGGCCTACGGCCTAGGCATTGCTTGGGCCTTGCTTGGGCCTGTCCCAGCCTCCTTCACTCCGCCACGCCTTTTGCCGGCGCCACAGCCAGAAACCTCTCAACGGTTTCCGCCATTCGCAGGGCCGTCTACGGTTGGATTCTTGGCCTGTATACAAAAGCTGAGGGTGAGGGAGGGCTAAAGATGTTGAAGCGGGCCTGAAACGGGGTGGGGTGAAAACAAGGGCACGGTGCAGGACAACATCCTTGCAGGAAGCACTTAGGGCTTCGCTCAGATTTGCGGAAGAAGTAGCAAAAGTTGGACTCTTCTAGGCCACCGAAGCCACCGGTAGCAGTTGCTTCTCAAGTTTGAGAGACGCTGAGCGGCAACGGCGGAGCCGCAGGAGGCACAGCGAGGAGTGGAAGAGTTGCCATGCGACCCACGCCATGTCCAGGACCTCTCATGCCAAGGTTCCGGCTTTAGCAAAGAAACATGGAGCCGTGCTTGTGTTTTCTGCATGACAGGGTGAGGTTGTGACGGCAGGCACTGCACAAGGAAAGACAATCGCAAAGTCGAGATGCATTGCCAATGCACGGCTGTTTGTGCCTGGCGCTCTGCAGTTGCAGCCTGCCAGAGGCGGAGGCAGCGCTGCAGCTGGCGATCACGGGTGGCCTGAGCTCGCAAGCGCAAGATGATCTGTGCCCCTTTGTCTCCCAAAACATGTGCCTTCATATCGACCGCTGGCACTCCTACATGGATGCTGCTTACGGAGCAGTGCCTAGGTCCATCTGATTTTCGGCTGCCAAAATGCTGCGAGTAGTTGACGACTCTGTAAACCAAGAATCGACACAACCGAGCCGGACTGCAACCCCGATTAGTGTAACAAAAGCCCACATCGCACATCATCTCCTTCAAAGGGATTTTTTACAGCATCCGAGATTTCGGAACCTCGCATGGAGAGCGAAGGCCTGCCGTCGAGCCCGCTCCAAGTCTGTCCAGGCCGTCCCATGCCGTGGGTGTGCGGGCAAAAGCATGTCCGGAATGTTTTATCAGCACTTTGTATCTTGGGTGTGAGCGTGTTGGCTGTCAGGATTCCTCGCTCAGCCAACATACTGCTCTTGGGACGTGTGGGTAAGGTCCAGCCCCACACGTTCAGGCTTAAGGGGCGGGCACGGCTCCTGGGGGCGGTCTGAGGGCAGTCACCATTGGTGATGCCTCGTCTCGGCCAAAGGGGACCTCCTACAACCTACAATGCAGCCTGTCTCTCACAGAGAGCAGTGCTCCTACGCCAAAACTTGCATGAGATGCTGGCCGGTTGACTGCGGACTTGTGTTCATGCTGTCCTTAGAGTGACGTCCACAGCAATCCTGCAATCTCATGGATAAAAAGCACCCAATCTTCCTCGGATTGCTTCAATTAGGATGCAGGGATGCATCTGTACCGCTCCCTGGGCAAAGCCCTTTAGACTTTCGTGCACAAGAATCTGTAATAAAAGCGATGCCACGCGGGTCCTCGCCAGCGTGGCTTGAATTCAATTGCGAATCTCTTTGCAGTCTAAAACATCAACAAGACCCGTTCCTGGGCCCAAATGTCTCAACACTGTCAGATCTCCACGTAGACGAGCTCATCGCCCGTCTGCTTCGGCCGGATCGATGCTTCGTGAACCTCCGATATGATCGCCAAGTGACATGGAAAAACCAAAGAGCAGATGAGCATGACAAAAAAGCCGTTCTTCATCACTGAAGCTAACAATGCAGCAGCAACAACAACAACAGCAGCAGCAGCAGCAACACCACACCAACACCAAGCGCAAGCACAAGCGCAAGCGGAACCGCCACCACAACCACCACCATCACCACAACCACAACCGTCATCACACCACAACAACAACCACAACAACCACGACCACACGACCAATACGACCACCACCACCACCACCACCACGAGGGTGACGGGTGTAACAGGAACCAGCGCGCGACGTTAAACGGGAACCACGGTTCAGGAGCCGACCAGACGAGAACGTAACGGGAACCAGCGGGACATCTCTCCCCCACACCCCAAACCCTAACCCACCCTGAACCCTGAACCTTTAAAAGCCCACAGTTTGATGAGGATTCCACTGGGAATCCAAAATCAAACCATGGCTTCCTATGGAGTCTGCTGCAGACCTATGGTTTTTATGTGGTTGACCAATGTTTAATACCTAAACCCTAAACCCTGAACCCTCAAGTGCGTAAGTAGAGGTCAGTGCAAGGCCTGCGTTAGAGAGGCAGTTCCTGTTTCAACCCCCCTAAACCCCGTGTGGTTGTAATTCTTTGAATCCAGGATCGATTTTGTCGTGCATTTTCTCTTGGATAGGGGGAGGTTTCGCAAATTGTCTGAAGCGATCGTTGGGCTCGACATTCTTGTTGGCTCGCAGTTCGTGCGACAGTTGTAGAGAATGCCCACAAATCGTGTGGTTGTCAACAAATTGTAAGTGTGATGTTCTGAGAATGCAGGTGTGAAGGGCAGCAGCCAATTCAGCAACCAGTCCAACAACGAGGCAAGCCAACAGAAGAAAGCACCGAACCTAAGGCATTGAATCCATCACACCAAAACTACAACCATAAACCCTATTCACCGAACCCTGCACCACCGGCATTATCGGCACCAGACACAATACACCCGAAAAAGCATTGTCCGAAATTGAACGTGCTGGGCCGACATACATTCTGCGTGGGCAAGCGCCGCAGCTGCCAACAACAACAAGAACAGCAACAGAAGCAGCAGCAGCAGCAGCAGCAGCAACCACCACCACCACCACCACCACCACCTCCAACACCACCACCACCACCACCTCCAACACCACCACCACAACCACAACCACAACACCACCACAACCACAACCGCAACCGCAGCCGCAACCACAAACAGAACAACAACCACAACACCAGCAGCAGCAGTAGAGATAATATCGGCAACAGGTCGACAGGGAAGCCCAGCATCCACACACCCAACAATGCCACCCTATGCCTATACCTATGTCTCATCTCCATCCCGAAGCTCGGAACGGAGCCAATGACCCGATCGTGGCCCGAGACCTTCTGCATCTGACCCCTTGCATCCTGAATGGGTCCGACCTCTTCGAGCCGCTGAAGCATTGAACCACCCCCCCCCTTTTCGGCGGGCCTGCTCGTCTGGCCTCCAAGAGGCCGCCAAGGTCGACCAATCGGCACGGCCTTGGCTTTGGATGGCGAAGGTCGCAAGTTCCAACATCAGTTCAGTAGACCTCCCTGGCCCCTCCCTCGCCGCCCTCGCCTCCACACGCAGCTTGCAGGCCCGCAGCGAGGGCTTCCTGTTCATGCCCACCGTCTAGTCTAGCATTTTTGGTCTGCACACACAAGTCTGGGTAAAACCGTAATCGGAGGCTATTGGGCTTGCCCCTCTACTTCAGGAAGTACCTGGTATGAACGCTGTTCTTCGCTAGGGTCTCGAACTCCAGACCAACAGCTCCAAAGCACCTTCGTTCGATTCAAGCATGGACCAGCTTTCACAGGATCCGTGTTTGACCACAAGCCCACCTTGACGTCAGGGTCCAGAGACAAGGGCAGCTCGCAGCTGTTGCCAGCGGAGTCCGTCAGCACCAGCTCCCCGCTTTCTGCGGCGCTCGAGGCTTCGGACCGCGGTTTTGCTACAAAGGCGTCTCAACACTTCCCCGGTTCAAGCCCAAGCTCTCACTGCACCAATGGACTGGCTGTCGCACCACTGTGCCACCATATGCCACCCAAACCTCTCAATCGTAAACCCTTCCAGAATTGGCTACATGCCGCAACATCACGTCGTATCCCATAGCCCATATTGCGGAGCTCTGGCCTTCGAGCTCTGCACGCTGCATGTCCGCAAAGGACAAGCCCCGGGCGATTTCGCTGACGTTCTGCCTTTGCACAACGGACGGATCCTATGCTTTCGGTTCTTGCGTGCGACATCACAAGTTATCCTGCCTGCCTACAGTGCAGCTGGACTGTGAGTTGTTGGATCCCGTTTTTCCAAAACTCCGTGTCAACGAACAGGTTGGCTTCTGCGACAGGCCTGCAAAAATCCGAATCGTTCAAGCACTGATCCCGACGCCCACATCGTCCACAACCCTTGAAGTCCTATGGTACTGTAGCAACAAACATCTTTGATCTAAGGTTAGAAGTAAGGGCCCCTAATATTGACCCTTAGGCCTTTCTAGGGACCCTTAAAGGCACATATAGGGTATATAGCAGGTGTATAAGGATCCCAGGGTTAAGGGTCCATACTAGGGGCCCATGGTTTCAACCTTAGATTTGACGCCAAACTGTACAAGCTCAAAACTTAGCACGCAGAGCTTCTCAGAAGATCTACAGCTTTTTGGAAGAACTTCTGCTTGCAACGACGGCGCGGGCACTCTGCAAGATCACCACTGGTCGACCTCAAAGCTTGGAGGCTTTAACCAGGAAGGCCAGGATGTATGATCCAGGCTTTCACATCACGAGCATGGAGGCGATCCCAATACACTTGCTCCATGAAACTTCATGCTCCAAACCCTCACGACACCAAGTTCAAATCCTGAACGACGCCTGAAGAACGTGCCCTGGGCCTGCTGAGCACCTCGTCCAGAGGGGACAGCAATTGTGGGAATTCCCGGTCCTTGGGTCGCTGGCGTCAACTGTTTTAGCTCTTGCGGGCCTGGGGTTTGGTAGGACTCTAACATCACGATACATAACGGCTGACACATCGAAGTCTACTACGAAGTTGCTACGAAGTTCAATCTCCAGTTGATTGAATCTCATGCCCCTGGCAATGGAAGTTTGCGCTCCGGAGCTCCATTGGCCTGTCGGAGTTCCCTCTTCCTAGGACACCTCATGGCAACAGGCTGCTGAGATCAATCGGGACTCAATTCGTCTCAGACGGTGCCGGTTGGATCGGTCGCCAGGGCCTTCGCAAGTGGAACTTCCGGCATGGATTTACTCCAGCGTTGTGAATTCACTCAAGACTTCTTTCGGGGGTTCCTCGAACGCAAACAAACGAACGAAGGGAAGAGCGAATGAATGATAGTGCCTGTGCATTTTGCTGCTGACTACTTGCACAGTTCAGTGACACAGGCGGAACAAGAGCCTGCAGCACGACATTCTGTCGGGGCCTCGAAGTCACCAACACCTACACCCTACCAGTCCTACGTAGCAGACAGGCAAGTCTAGAGTAGAACACACTTCAAACACTACATTGTGGCACGCGCACACACACACACCGATGAAAAAAAAAAGCGCAGGCAGAGGCCAACGGACAACCAAGACGAAGCTTCTAAGCAGACACTGAATGCCCCGCCTGCATCTGCATTGGAGAAGGCCTGTCAACATTGTGCAGCAGTGAAGGGTTATAAGTTATGAGGCTTGAGGTGAAGAGTTGAAGATTGCACCGTTCTCAGTCCAAGCACTCTTAGACAGAAAGGTTTGATCATGAATGTGCCGATACTTCAATTGTACAAGTAACAAAGCGATGCATTTCTGAGAGGAGATCTGGCTTGGCCTTGCTGAAGCTTTTGGTCTCTGGTCTGTCTCGCACGATGTCAAGACAAAACACGCGGTGCTTGAAGATGTGAGACGCAACCCTGTCAACCACCCAGAATACGGAGAAATCAACACATGCAGCTTCACGTACCCATGGGCACTGAGCCTTCAAAGACCAAAACCCAATGGCCCTTTGAATCCATCACATTCACAAGTTCGCTAACCTTGTCGGAGTCCAACTCGCTGCCGAGCCGGCTTGCGGCGTCGAGGGGGTGAAGCTTCACCTTTCGTAGTGGCTCTAGGGATGACTGGGGCCTTGAGCTTGCACCCGGGCTCGGTGTGCGTAGGCTTCTACGATCTTCTACGCTTGGGTTCAAAAGCTCAGGATTCACTCAGTGCGGTTCTTGACCCTGGCTCCACGGCACGAACCTTCGTCATCAAGTGCTTGCTTCAGCCGAGTGGTATCATGCACCGAAACCACTATCACCTGCTTTTGGACCGGATGATCAATGTTTGCCAAGTCCCAACAAGAGCGTGCTTTCTTGCGGCTCTACTCCAGTTCTCAAACCCTCTCTGCCTTGGTCAGGAGAAGCTTGTCCTCAGTGCCAAAGGCGCTTAATGGATTCAGGTAGCACGTAGTTAGTGCTCAAACTTTAGAGAGCTGGGGCTTGGGTGTGGCGGAGTATTGGTTCCTCGGACTTGTCAAATTCATGTGAATTGGAAGCTTGTCTCGTTCACGGTGTTCCATACCGAAGCAGGCAATCAGTGTAGCATTGTCATCGGGGAATATGCATGGAGCTTCGCCTCTGGCGCAAGGTTGCCGGAGAGATCGGAGAGATATGCGGTGTTGATGACTTGTGTGCAGGCCAAGCGACAGTGTACAGAAGCAGGACGCTGGCGTGGAAGCCGTCCGAAGCAAGTGGGACAATCTCCTGTTCAGACAGGCCCCTGGGTTTGTTGATCTGATACTGACTTGCTGCGTGGTTCCTCAGAAGCGGATGTCACCAGGAGGGGATATACAAAGTGGAAGAGATGCGCTGTCGTCTGACTTAGATTCTAGCTTCTAGATCAGACAGGGCATGCGCAAAAGATTATTCGCGTGGCATTGTCTTTGACTGCGCAGACCCAGGCTCCAAGTCCCTCGAGCACCCAGGCGCCTGGATTCCTTCTGCTACAGTCCCCAGCTGCTGCGAGATCTCTGCATGGGTGTGGCTCCACGTGCGGATGGTGCCGTACCTTCAGGGTCATCTGGCTCTTCAGACCAAGACTTTCGGCAACAATGCCAAGCTCTCAAAACCGTACCGTTTCTGCCCAGGTCCCAAATCGCCCCGAAGATTATCAACTATGCCCATCACAAACACCCTAGACACCAGTTTGGAAGCTGCATTTGGCTGTCCGTGACGGAAGCTTCAATACCAAGCGAAACCTCGCGGACCGGAAGCTGAGCATTTGGCATGGTTTACTTCTTTTTTCAATTGTTCTGTCAGCGAATCCCGCAAAAGAGACTTTGTCGTTGTTGCCAGGCCGGTCTCCAGAATGCTAAAGGGCAGTTCGGATGCCGATCATTATGTATTTCCTCAAGAGCGGTTCCGGCCCGGGCCCCCAGCCGGGACAAGGCTAACTGTTCCAAAGCTCCCTACGCGGACGCAAGTCCTAAACGCATCCGTGGAAGACCCCGGCCCCGGCCGCTGCCAAGGCACTTGCCGAAGAGCATGCGCGGTCCGCGACGGCGGCAGCGCTCGCGACCTGAGTTTGACACAGTCGAAGTTACTATTAGTCGTTCAGCAGTTATCCAGGCGCATAGTAGGGATGTTTACAGGTTACGTGTACAGGGGCTGCTGTGCGGCGATGCCGTGCACGTGAGTGCATATGTTTTAAATCAAGGTGTCGAGACTCGAAACTTCATGACTATTAAAACTATCAATGGCTTCTTTCGCGATGATTTTGTATAGGAACCTGCAGAAGAATTTCACCTGCTTCTCATAGCTTCTTAAGCGGCACCGAGCTCCTCGCGTCGCCGCTTAGCTGTAGAGTCCATGGTTGCCACTGCAGAGATGCCTTTGTGGCACACGGCAACTTCGGCCGACCATGGGTTTGGACTCAATCGAGACTGCTGGCGTGGGCCTAGGGGTTCCTCTTCGAATGTACAGAAAGCACGCCCATTCAGAGAACAGCTGCTGATCCCAACCTTTGGCCACGATGCCTGTGATTATGTCAGAGGTCGCCTGACCAACGCCGACGATGGGCTTGATCACAGTGCCTGCCCAAGATGTCACATGCTGAAGATCCTCCGTCACGTTCTGGCAACAATCAGTCGTCAACCTGAACCCCACACGCGGAAGGTTGAAATCCCCCAGTTTAGAAGACACCTAATGCACCTGAGAAGACTAGTTATCGGCGACGACGACGTCGTGACGAACACGGCTGCTGATGCTGCTCCTACTCAGATGCCAAGAAGCACTGCTTCCGAATTCCAGACGGCGAGTTACCGAAATCTTACACAGCAACAACCCGAAAGGCCCAAGAAACAGAAACACTTCCCACTCACGGTGCCCACACCAGAGCTTCGCATCCTGCTCTGTCGCTCACTTTCAGTTCGGCCCCAGTGAGATCGTTGTCACATCATTCATGTCAATACGTCCTGCTGCCTTGCATCCAAAGCTTCGCAAGGGGGCCACATCTCTAGACTCTAGAACATGCCACAGAACCCTCCAGCTCGGATTGCAAGAACGTAAAGTGCCTGCGACTCCGGTGCCAACACCCTTGGCGAAGCCACGGACGCCCTCCTGATTTTTTACAAGACTTGGCGTTCGATTGAGATGACGACGGTGAGCAAGGCTCGTGTCAGAGCTCCCTCCTCCTTGGCACCCTCCACGGGCTTTCGGAAGATGTCCTGGACCGAGAATCCGGGGCTGCCGACTTTGGTCAGGCTCTTGGGGTCAGGGCTTTGCAGGTGGGTCCAACATGTTCCAGATCCTTTGGAGTTCCAAGCGCCAAGCAACATCCGTCAACGCAACTCTGCTGGAGTATTTCGTGCCCAAGCTTCCAATGCACCGTTCATGCCGGTGGCAAGGGATTTGCCAGCCTGCAACGGGCACGAGGTGCCAAGGGCCCTTCCCCCCGGCCCGTGCAGTACGAAAATATGTGCTAAACCCGAAAGCTCCAGGTGTCAAACATTGGTTGCCGCAAAACAACCAATCACCGTCCCTGCCGCTTTGCGAGCCCTCGTTGTACAAGAAATCATCACAAGTTCGTTCAGCAGCTCTTTTGTTTGGCTTCGGATCGAAATGATAGCTCATGCTCCAAGTCTTACGCTGTGGTTCTTTACGTTCCCCCCTTCTGTTTTTTATACCCAGGCCAAAGCAGCTGGATCGCTGCTCAATATTCGACAACAGTGACCTGGACCAGGCTGCGGATCAAGCTGGTTTCCTTCTCTTGTGACTACTTGTTTGGTGTTTTTCCTTCGCCCCGCTTCAAGACTCTGCACCTCTTTGAGGCCATCGACGGCGCCATTGATCTCTTTCATCTCCTGGTGGATCTGCTGCTGCTGCACGTAGTCCTCCAGAGCCCCATCATGGGACTTGCAAAACGCAAGTGCGCTCAGTAAAGACCTCCTTGTTCGCCCGATTTGCTCTGAAACTTCTGAGATCTTGTCCTCGTCCATGGCTAGGTGTTGAAGCATGCCAGCACCTCCCCGGATGGTCCTTAGGATACCACTTCAACTCTCTGCAAAGGCACTGTCTGCTGCTTTGTGCGTGACCTGGGTCCCGGAGTGGGCATGATGTCATCAGAACAGCGAACCCGTGTTGGAATTTCGGGAAAGCCGCTCCTTGCGTTTATCCGGGAAGCTCCCGCAGCTAGCGCGAAATGTTACTGTATCATTCATCAGGTAGATCAATGCATTTAGTCAGGGGCTGTTAGTCAGTGAAAAAGCGCTGATGAGCCTCGAAGCTTGACCCACCTCAACTCCGACATGACAAGGGAATCAAGCAGTGCTTCCAAGAGTCGTGCCCACACCGTCAGTGACCATGGAAACAGCAGTGCCGCCTTTGTCGCGTTCGTGGATGGGGAAAGCAGCATAGGCGGGAAACAAGAAAAACATGGACCACGAGCGGTACCATAAAGTGGAGCTGGGACCCCGGCCCATGGCCAGGGGTATGGCACCGCCGTTCAACAGGGAGCTCTTGCCCAACAGAGACAGCACCTGACCGAGGTGCCAAGCAGAATTTTGTGCTTCAAGATCTCAGATCCGAAACATGACAGCGGTCCTGCTCGGGTTTACCGCACAGGTGTGGGGAGGCCGTCTACAGCTACTTACAGAACTGTCTTGGCACCCAAAGCAGTAGATGTGTTCACGGACAGTCGGCATAGCTCCGATGCACCAATCCCTGAATCTGTATTCCTGCAAGTGATCCAAGTTCATCTTCATCTCGCCAGCACCGTCCTCATCATCGTCATCACCCATTGTGCAATCCAGGCTAAAGAGAAACCAGCAAGGAATCGCTCAGCTATGAATCACTTTTCCGCAGCAACAACTGTGGCTAAAGGCCTTGAGAGGTAAAAGGCCAGAGTCAGCCGGATGTCACAAGCAGCGGTGCACAGCGAATGCTTTATCATACCCTTAACTTTCTTCTGCTAAAAGGCACTACAGAAAGCCGAGCTGTGCAAAGCTGGTTGCTTCATCCGTCTCGCGAAAAGAAAGTCACGAGTACAGGTGCTGGTAAGGGCAGCAAGCTGTGCTGGTTGGCCTCTTCGAGGTAGCGATTCTTTCGCTCAAGCACGCGCCAAGCCAGTTCACCTGAAGGTAACTCGTAACGACCAAAAGTAGTCCTGAGTGGAAACTGGAAACTCTGCGCTGCTGAACCTGGGCTCCGGTGTGCGAAAGCTCTTGGCACCATGGGAAACATTGACGCCCATGGATCCTTGATGATGCCAGCCGCGATCCTCAGCGAACTTCAGCAAGAAGCCCAACAGCGGGTCGCCACCGTCAACAGAAGCCCCAGGTAACTTGACACCCTCGGGAACCTTTGGCACCACAACACGCTTGCCCTTCGAAACCTGCTTCACGAAAGTGGGGCTGTACTCTATGCTCCAGACACCGCGCCTGAGAGTGGAGCGCAAGTGACCCACATCTATGTACTTGGTCCCGGCATCGCAGAACATGTTGCTGGTAGCAGTCCAGCGTAACACAGTGTTGGGACGCCGAAGCATCGCACGAAGCCAGGCCACTGTAAAGGCAAGCGACTTTTGGGAGCCAAAGGAGCTCGTGTCGCTGTTCCCTTTGTCGAAGACGTCCTTGGCGTCGACCACCACGGTGAGCGGCACCGCGTTCAAACTGCGGTCGATGTCCTGCTTGGAGTGCAGCGGGTAGCCCTTCGCCGCCGCCAAGAAACCACGAGCCAGCTGTCCAACGTCGAAGGCCTCTTCAGCGCCAAGCGTTTCGGCACTGTAAGAACTCCGGCAGACGCGAGTCAGCCGGTGACTCCTTGTGTCCAAAACGTTGAACCGTCCTGGTCGCCCTTCTCGCAGGTCCCGGTCCGCCAGAAGACAAAAGTAACAGCTCTGAGAGTACACCTTCTCCAAGGGAGGTGCGTCACCTGCGCCGCCTTGCGTCACGTTGCCCAAACTGCTGTCCGTCACCACAACTAGCCCAGCGTCCCCCATCGGGATGGGCTGAAAAACCATCTCGTACGTGGGGTCCAACATGAACTCCTCGAGGAGGGCGTTCGCGCGCAGCATGGTTCCAACGGTCGGGGTCTCGCCCTGCAAGGAAGACACCGGAAACTGCAAGTCGAACCGGAGCTGCGCCACAAGCCACTGGAAACTGCCCAGAAGAGCACGAAGGCGGCGGCGTTCGTCAGGTCGAAGAAGAGAAGTCAGCGAAGCCCGCCTGTCCTTAGGCACCGGAATCGGCTTCAGGTTGCGGTGGTAAGCCTCCATTGACAGAGACACCGAGCCGTCGGGGCGCCGAAGAAAACGCTTGCCCCACCACACGAAGTCGTCGACCTTGGTCTCGCGGAAACCCAGCTCCTGGCCGACCTCAAGCAGCGAAGCCTCGGCCGTAGGGTTGCCGCCGAAGAGCAGGTCGTCCACGTGGCTGATGATCATGCCCTGCAGCACTTTCTTATCAGTCCCGCCCCAGAGAAACCAAGAGGCCTGGTCGAGCGGATTGCGCAGCCAGCCTCGAGACTCAAGCGCGCGGCTAAGACGAAGCCACCATTCGCGGGGAGCATCAGCCAACCCGAAAATGCCCTTGCAAACCTTGGCCAAGCAACCCTCAGGGATCGGTATGCTGGGCCCAACCTTGGTGTTCGTTCGGGTGATGTACAGCTCTCTGGAGACATAAGGGTCCCCTTTGAGGAAGGCCGACTTCACGTCGGCGGACATCATCTTCCAGCTGTGGCCCTTGCTGGCAATCAAGGAAAGCAAAAGGTGCTGCGTCAAGCGAGCTCCCGTTGGAGCGTCTCGCCGAACTTCTCCATTCAGGTTCGCCCGATCTTTGAATCCGGGCGCGACAAGGCGAGCAGATGCCTCGACCTCCAAAGGGTTATTCTCCGAGCGAAGTCCATCGGCCTTGTCTGTCAGCACAAAACGAGGAACAAGGATTCGGTCAAGCTCACCCTTCGCGGCTAGCTGCTTGCGTACAGCTGAAGACTCCTTGGCATCAAGGATGCGAACGGCATCGTTCTCAAGGTAAGCTTGCCATCCCTTCTCAGCGGCCTTAGACCACAGCCGCTTCTCATGCTCGGACATGCGACCCCAATTGTACTCTTTGCGGGCCGTGGCCGCTGAAACTTCAAAGTCCTGAGGCAACCCAGTAGGCAGCATAGCACCCGCGGCCTGGATAACGGAAAACTGCGAGCTTGACGGCAGGCTCCAGCGACCGTCCCATGTCCCATGGTCCCGCTCATCTTCAAGACATGCTGACACAGGCTGTCGGTCCATCTCCACCTGAGCTTGAAGCTGTAGAAGGGGGTGCACCTGCTGGCTAAACGCCGTCAAGTTCTCCAGCTCGTCACGAGACAACACCATGGCTTCAAACGCGCCCCTGGGACCAGACTGCGGCTGAACTGACAAAGACATCGGAAGAGGCCCAGGAGATTCGCTAGAAGGTTGTCGAGGTACTGCTGGCGCTTGTTCTGACTGAAGTTGCCCAGGAGATTCGCTAGAAGGTTGTTGGGGTACTGCTGGCGCTTGTTCTGAGAGAAGTTGCCCAGGAGATTCGTTAGAAGGTTGTCGGGGTACTGCTGGGGCGCCGCTGGCAACACTCTGGTCCAAGGCTGTCCTCCGAATCTCCACGGGGCCATCGTCAAAGCCTGCCTCGGAGCTGGTCCGGCGACGCATGCCACGGACCATTGCATCACGAAGTTCCGCCTGGAAGTCCGCAGGCTGTCCCCTGTTTAAGGCTTGCCTCCCGAGCTCAACGTCCAAAGGCTGTTGTCGGGCCCGGTGAAGAGCGCGTTGCACCACCGCTCGTTGCAAAAGGTGACCGACTGGAGTCCCAGGTGCCGCCGTTGAGGGGGCCGAAGAGGTCGTGGTAGAAGTCGTCGGTAAAGAAGAGGGCGGCCGAGTAGTAGGCGCCACGTTCCTCAGCACCACCGGTTCCACGACAACGTCCTCAGCCAATGCCTCGTCCTCCGGGACGATCGGCAAAATGTCAGCACCGGGTCCCCGGCCAGCCGAGCGATCAATGCCATCGACCAGCTCCTTAATCGCTTCCTCCCAGGTGTTGGCCGCCAGCTGCTCCAAGGAAGAAGCCGCACGCACATGTTCCAACGCACACTTCGTCACCTGGCCTTTGTAAGAAAGGAAGGCATTGCTGGGAAAGCCAGTCTCGCCCGAAGTCTCCAAAGCAATCAACACAGCCGGCCCGTGCCAACGCTTCAGCTCCAGCCGCCGGCGCCGAGATGAAGTAGACAACCTTGGGTCGTTGCGACGGGTCATCTTCTGAGCACGCCAAAAGTAAACTACGTCGCCCGGGGCCGGTGGTTGGGAAGTTGTCGGCTCCCTGCTCCTGGCCAGCTCAGCTTTCCGAATGCTCTGGCCGTAAAGCAACCTCACCATGGCAATGCGGGCCGACTCGCGCAGAGCTAAGCGCTGGTTCAGGCTGGGGTCGGAATCAATCAGCCCATGCTCTGCCAAACGACCAGCAAAGTTACTCAAAACAGAGCCCTGAGAAGCTGGCTGGCGTCCGGTGACACACTGAAGTGGGGACACACCCTCCGCGGTGGGGTCCGAGTTATAGGCCGACACCGCCTCGGAGAGGGCATGGCTCATGTCGCGCTCTCCGATCACCACCTTGTCGGCGACGACTGCTGAAACAAGCACTTTAAGAGTGCCACCCGAGCGCTCCGCAATGCCATTCTGCCACGGAGCCTGAACGGCTGCGTGCCAAAGTAAAACACTGTGCGAAGAACACCATTCTTGAAACTCTTCCGCAATGAATTCGCGGCCCTGGTCTGCAATCAGCTGCTTGGGAGGGCCTAGCAACGGAATCCAGGAGGCCATCAAGAAATCGATCACGGAGGCGGCGCTCTTATCCTTGATGATGGCTGCCTGCTGAAACTTCGACACCGCATCGGTGGCATGGGCAACCACATAGGTGCGGCCCACAGCATCCTCAGTGACCAGCAAGTCCACATGCATCTGCTCTCCAACGGCACGAGGGGCAGGAAGACTCGCAACTCTCCGGCTCCTAGGGGCACGCCTCTCCGCACAAACGTCACACTTGAGCTCGCGAGCGGCCTGAACAGCAGCCGGTGGCGCCCCAGACAACAACAAAGCTCTCGCCAGCCGCCTGGGAGGCCTATGGCCGGTTGCCTCATGCACCCTCTTCACCGCCGCTCTGATGGCCGGAGTGATCTCGCCCTTGAACGGCTCCGTGGGTTCGTCGTCGGACTCCTGCTCGAGGTCAAAGTCACCCCGGTCAGCCTCCGGCTCCACCTCGGTCACCGCCAGGATATCGTGGTGAAAGTCGACGGCACCGGGCACGGAGGTCACCTGAAAGCTCTCGTGAACAGGGGCAAGCAGGCCTAGCTGCCGGGTCTCAAAGTCGAACTCGTCCTCAAAGGCCTGCACCAGAGCTTGCGACAGAGCAACCTTAACTTTCAAGCAACGCCGCACCACCGCTGCGTCCAAAAACTTGCTCACCACCGCCTGAGACGAGGTCAAGAAGCGCTCAGCGCTTGCCGGCAGCCGTGGTAGTGTGTAGTCCCGGGTGGCCGCGAAGACGTTTCAAAGCTGGGGCCCGCCACGCCGAGGAAAGCGCAGGAAGAAGAAAAACGAAGTGTCTCCCCCCCCCGATTTGTTCTCGCGCCAGGCGGGCCACGAAGTTCAACAAGGCCAGGTCGACCGACCGTCGCTGCCGAAGCTGGTCGGGCGACTGCAAGTACCGAAGGTCTCGGCTCCACGGCTCGGCAGGCACGGTGAGCACCAAGAAGAAGGGCCGCTCACGCCGAAGTTCAAGAAGCACTTGCCGCCGGTGGTCGGGTCGTTGTAGGTCCCAGCCAGCCTCGGTAGTCCAAGGGCCGGCCGTTGTGTGTCCACGGCAGCGGGCCTGCTGAGAAACAAGCGGCGTAGAAGCGCCCGCCTCGGCCGCCACGAGAGGAATCTCCATAATGAACGCCTCTCGAAAAGCACGCTTGTAGTGAAGAAAGTGCTCAGCCGTCATAGTCTCGCGAAGCTGCCGAGGGGAGCACGAGATAAGAAGCTGCTCCCGCCTGTGCCGGGCCCAAGCCTGAGAAATAAGCTGCCGCTGCCCCGGCTTTAGGTCGTTCAACTGGGCAGCTCCAGGCAGCCCAAGTGTTTTGGCGGGGATCGGTCTGATTCGCCTGGGTCTCCTCCTCGTCGGGCTCGGGTGGCATCACTTGGGCCCAGTCCTCGTCGCCCTCCATGACGGTGTCCGGGGCCGACTGTCCTGGTACCTGCATCTGCATCATATGGTGCATCACCTGGTTGAGCATGCTCTGCTGCTGCGCCGTGGCTTGCTGAAGCATGTCCTGGTACTTGCGATCCATCTGCTCCATGTACGACGTGAAAACACTCATGCTCACGGCCTCGCCCTCGGGTGGCGATGCGGCTGCAGGGGCCGATGTAGGTCGGCGCCAAGATGCTGGCAACTCGGCTGAGGTAGTGCACGTGGGTCTCGACGAAGGGCTCGAGGAGAAGGTCATAGAACCGCTGGATTGCGAAGGAGCCGGCTTTGAAGAAGGAGCATCGTTCTTTAAAAGCCCAATCATCGGCCTGAGCTTCGCCTTCAAGTCGTCGACCTTGTCCCGCTCTGACACCGAGACCTCCAGTAGGGCTGCCAATCGCAAGAGGTCCGCCTTCAGAGTCGGCAAGCCCCCACGGGGTCCGATCAAGGAACGACCCAGACCACCGATTGGATCTATTTATTAGATCCAGGCTCAAGTTGTCGAAATAGATACAGAAGCAGCTTCTGGATCTAAATTTTTGAACCGCTGGTATTGACAGCACGTCACGAGCGAGTCGCTCT